TTGATGATTGAAATGAAAAATATTGGAATTTTGCAGTTGGAAAACGAAACAGTTTTTAACATATGACTGACTAAGTCCAATAAATAAGATTATAGCAAAATGGCGCATTTCCGAAAAGCTGAAGAGTAAACTTTCCAGAATATTTCAAAGCAAATAGGGCTGGAATATATATAATGATGAAACTGTTACTTGAAAATTGGATATCTAATTGAAAGTTTAAGTGATTGTACCCTGGCTAAACGTTTTTACACTCAAGCAGTAGAATACTTCTTGTTTATTGGTAGAAACTTACTTCCTACACAATGTTCTCTTTAAAAAAGTTTTTATACTTTTATTAAATCATAATAATGTGTCGAGAAACTGTAAAGTGTATTTTCAGCAAACAGTACTGGAACAGAATCGGTTTTTACGTGTTTTGCGGGTCATGAAATAATGTTTCACGTATCAACAATGCTACCGTACACCAAAGACAATCTACAGCAAGTAAGTCTTAAATGAAAGACTTTTCTCATCAATTATTAGGGATACATTGCTATGTAAATAATCCATCTGTTACTACAACTACATAACCGTAGACGCAAATTAGGTGGAACGTAAACGACACGTTGGGAACGATATAGTTAACATTGTTTTTGTCTCCGGTGGTGACGCCGAGCATCCTAATTTCTCACCGGCAATGTGGAAATCACAATTTACACGTAAGTTTCATTTTTTTCCCTATACTTTTTTCATTCTTTGTAATCAATATAGAATTTTAGCAGTTAACTGTATAGGAAAAAATTACTCTAAAAAGACAGTTTTTTTAGGACAACATTTTTTTTCCTTTGCTTAACCAAAAACCTTTACGATTAATATACAATTGACTGAGACTTTTTTCAGATGTTTTTGCTGTGGTAACTTACGAAGAAAAAACGAACGCCTACAGGTTATGGGTACACTCGGAGGAAACAGTGCCAGCGTTTGGACCTGCTCTACCATATCCAAATGTTTTTGCAGACCACCAAAAATTTCGTGAATTCCTGCTAACAAAATGCAATTGACTTTTTATGCTTTCTTCTTTATAGTAATAATTTTCAAAACAACAAAAAAACTTACTTTTTGCAAACAGTTCTACACAGGTAATTCTTATAAAAACTAGCTTAAATGAAGTTGTCCAATAATAGCTATTTTTAGTGATAAATGCTGAGAAAGCCGCACATCAAGCACGCGTTTTTGTCGAAAAACGTATTAGGACACTGGATGTCTTGTTAAAGGATATGTATATGGAACATCTAAAAGAGAACAATAAAGTTTTGCTTTCTCATAATTCTTGCTGATTTCTATTAATCTAGTGACTAACAGTTATTGCTTTAAAAAAACATTTAGAAAAAGCCTTTTTTATTTTCATTTAAACTGGATAATCTTAGCAATTATTTACTTTTTATAATCTTTCACTTAAGGTAATGACCAACTGTCTTTTAGGGCTTTCGTAAGGTGACAGATATTGTCATTAAACATCTAAGAAGTCCAGCCAAAAAAAGTACTTCAAAAGAAATGGTTGAATTCTGCAAATACGGTGAGCTAGTTAAACTGGAAAAAATGCTTAGCGGCGATATATCGAACAGCATTCGGATGTCGATAGGTAGTAAGCAGGTATGACCGTTAATAATTCTCCTATCCGCTTCGCTGCATATCGCTGTGTATGCAATTCAAAAAAAAACAGTGATCATTATGATACGTTTTGAATGAATCTGTAAAATAACCCCATTCGTTAATTCAGTTTTCAACATTAATTTTCCTCATCCTTCACTATTTCTGTAGTACAAAGCCCATTGTTCATTCAAAATGTTGCAACCTAATTAATGTTAACTGCGGCAAGAAAAAAAAGAAGAAGTAAACAATTATTTACAAATTTAGACCTTCAAAATGTCGCATCGGAGTGCCACACAAATTGCAGATATCTTTGGCTCTCCTACTTAAGCACAAAAAATCAATTTACCAAAAATTCCACCATGATTTATTTGGTTTGTACAAAAAATACATTTCACTAACACATAAAAATGATGGATTTGAAACGTTTAAGCCATGGGAACCAGAATTAGTATTCCAAAATTCACTTTCTTGGGATGCAATTGGATCTGACGCATGGGGAACCAGTGCTGTACTAATTGCAACTGAAGATACCGGGGTTATCTTTGAATGTGAAGGCCTGTCCGTGCCCATCATTGAAGCTCGAGCTAAGGTCATGCAATTAGCTGTTCGGGAACATTTTGGACTTTTCCTTGCTCGGACAGACAAAGGTATGTAGCATTCATTAATTGTTGTTTCCTTCACTGAAAAATTAGCTGCTCAAGGAAACTGATAAACTTGACCCTAAGTTGCCAAAACCTTCACATTATTTTCTGCTGTAGGAAGAATTTCCCAAAGAAATCCTACTTTTTGTTGCGAGAACCGCAAAAGTGCGCAGGCACCTGCCTATTGTCAACTATTTGCAATTTGAATAAACTAGTAAAAAATATGAATGATTGTAGGGAAGGAATCAAGTCTGATCGTGTTAGCATTAACTGACCTAAGGTTAGCCATGCAAACCGGCGATCTGATCTTGAGGAAAACCTGCATAGAACACCGGATAGCAGCTTCCAAAGGTCGGTTTTTAATGTTTCTTTTTTCAGTATTTCATCTCATAGTTGACAATACATTATTACATTTCACGGGCTATATTATATTTCCGTTCGTTTCTGCCCTTATCAAGCTTCAACTTTTGAAAATATCAAGAAAATATTTGCTGCAGTCTAAACCTTAATTAAGTGCAGAAACACAAGCACCTGTCATTGCCAAAACAGTTCAAAATTTCAGGTTGTCATTTGTTTGAAACAAGCGACCCAAACGGACTTCGACTCTATGTTGTTATATGTATAGGCAAAAGTTTAACTCTTTTACGGTGGGCTTTTGGGCCACTGGGAAGAATAGAAGCAGGGACAGATCTTACCAATAATTTTAACGCTCTTAAGGTATCCGCAGTACTAAGTGCTTCAAAAACCCATTCCTGTTCTGCCTCAGTTTCAGCTAAATCCTCAATTATGACATAGGAGCTGCACCCCTCTTTCAAATTTTAAAACTACTTCAACGTTTATTTAATGGAATTCAAAACGATAAGACAAAAAATTGATTTTGTCACAAAATTACAAAATTTAGCACAATTTAATTAACAGAAGCTTTTAAAGTACAAAAGCAATCTTTCAGACTGTCCTTCTAAACGAAGAAACTACAGCAATATCGGTATACGAGCGTGGATGCACACAGTGTACTGTTCATACAGTTGCTTTCACAAAGGCTGGTATTGCCATGGTAGACTTTTGTTCTGACACCGTTCAATACTTATGTTACGAGGTACCAAAAGCCACAATCACTTCACTCTATGCCACTTCTGACGGACAAGTCGACGAAATCATTTTCTCACACAAAAGTAAAACTACTTTTTCCTACTGCTCCCTACTGTGCCAGTTTTGTAACTTTATTACACCAGTGTGGAAATCAACTTGAAGGAGACTTGTTTCATTTCCACCAAACTTCCGAAAGTATTCATTAACACACCATTCGCCTATCGCTTTAAAACCTTTTAGATATAACCGTCACTTTGGAGACACCTGGTAATGGTAAATGCAACGTCCACGAGACGTTTTGGTCCTCTGCTCTTTTGGCATTTGGTTAGTCTTCTAGACTTCTTCGTCATTCCAAGTTGAGCTTTTCATGCTTTTAAAACTAACCACATCAACAGCCTTAGTTAGAGACGTCTTCGAGCCATAATTGAAAAACGCAACCGCGCAATTTTGAAATCTACCAATCTCAATCTGTGACTTCGCTCAAATTTTAGTCTGCCAATTCCCGTTTATTGTTGGCTTTGGTCAGAACCACATGGAAGTACGCTTATCAGTGAATGGCAACTTGCTGTATTCGATGTACATGCCAGATGTTCGCGTCCTCTCTAAAAAAGTGCAGTAACCCTCTTTCTGCAACTGATATATCTCAGAGAATTATTACTATTGCTCCAGAAATTTACAAAATATAACAACAAAGGAATATCAAACTTGCCTTTACTGACCAATCAAAAAGAATACTCTGAATTACCTTTTCCTTTTCTGTCCTTTCAACACCTTAAAACATATATTTTTTTATTCTAGCCCCATAGCATCTCATCACTTTTGTAGCATCTAAAAGTTCATAAATAATTCCACAGCCAAGATGTCTAAATAAGGCAAATAGGTAATAGTACAGTGGGAATGCACTCAGTCATACAATAACTATAAAAAAATGGCTCTTTTTAGGATGACATCTTGTTCGCAGTAGATCATCCAACCAGTCCAACTGCAACAACCGCCACAACTGGACTTCCAAACAGCACCAAAGCACTTCACGCATCACTAAAAAAGAAAGAACCAAAAGAGCAGCACTCAGCAACAATTAAAAGGTACTTCAAAAAAGCAACTTAAAAACGTAATTCTAAAGGTAATCTAAAAACAATAAATAAAAATTTAACTTTCAAAAAAAAAAAAAATCATCAATGTTCACTGCTTCTATAACGTTTAAAAACGATGAGTGTTATAGGTGGTGCATTTATCGAATCAGCAGTACAGCCATGCGTGTGAACGAAGCTAGAAATGTTCGAGAACGTGCACTGGGAGGTCTAACTCCTCAGCTCCTTAGGAAGTTCAAAACAAATGCTGAAACAGATTCTACATTTGACCATCAACTAGAAAATTCTTCAAGACGCATCTGTTCAACAGCGTCGGACACAACATGTGGCAGTGGTAAATATACAGGATACTCTGGGCCTGACTCACCCTCTCTGGTTGTAACATTTGATACTTCTTTAGATGATGATGTTTTGGTGTAGCTCATTGTCACTCAACTTTCCTTTTTTCCGTGTCACTTGTAGTAACCTCACTAAAGGGAATAAGCGAAGCGATAAAGCTTCTCAAATGTCTGTAAATTAATGAATTGAGAGTAGGAAGTGAGAAATTAGCCAACAGTTCTAATAATAATAATAACAATACACGAATAAAATGCTTCATCATTTGCTGCAGAAGACACACAATAAACGAAAGTCGCTAAAGAAATATCTAGCATCTGTAAAAAAGTAAGACAAATAAAACACTGACCCATATGAATTCAAATTTTTGAGGAATTTTTCTTTAATTTGAAGGTATTTGATGGAAACAGATATATATGGGCAACTGACGTCTTGATCTTACAAAATACACGAATCTTTGTTTAACTGTTCGTGTAAAGAAAGCAACCAGGCAGCTCTTAATGGTCTAATGGCCGCTCCTGCTCTCAGTAAAAAGTTTGCAATATTCTTTGGAGCTTTACTGCCGCTATTTGGAAGCGTATGAGATAAAACTCGAATGAATCTAGCCCATAAAGGCATAAAGATTTTTTGCAAATTGATGACAGCGTGTTTCCGAACTTTAATGTGTTATTCGCTTAGAAACATACTTATCAAGACACTGATAATTTCAACAGCTCCTTGTCGCGGTTACTGACAGGATCCCGAAATCGAGAAATTGTTTGTTATAACCTTTCGTCTATGTGTCCCTATGGGGGACCTTTCTCTGATTCTTTCTTTTCTTTGTAAGATATAACTAGCCGCTTATTATCTTATAAAAATGCGCGATTCCAGAGAACTGTATTTGCTGTAACCTACCGTGTGACTAGTTCCTACTTACTTAAGTTACTACTATTTCCCAACCCTTATAGCAACTTCTCTTCGAACGAATAGACCTTAGCCAATCTCCGAGTGGATCCTATGTCTTAATGGAAAACTGTCTAATCTCAATCACACTTGAAGTATATTTACCCTTCTTGCTTGTATTCTAAGAAGCGATATTTCAATGTTTATTGACTTTAAAATACTATAAATGAAATGGTAGATAAGTTTTTTCTTTGTTCCTTGTGGACCTCTCGATTGCTCCTTGTTGCCCTGAATAGTTATGCTGCCACGCGGGACTTGAGTTTTAATAGCTTTATTTCAGGAAG